AGGCTGGTTCATCAGTCTTGAGGTTATGTGACAGTTAGAAGGTGACTTTTCTTTTGCTACTGAAGAATTCAGGCATCAGGGGCAGCTAGGTGGTGCAATGGATAGAGCATGGGCCTTGGAGTCAGGAGGACTTGAGCTCAAATCCCACCTCAGATACTTGACACTTACTAGCTGTGTGACCCTGGGCAAGTCACTTAACCCTATTGCCTAGCCGCAGTCCCCATCCATCCCTGTCTCCCGTTCCCCCCCCCCAAAAAAAAAAAGAATTCAGGCATCAGAGCCTTTGCTGGAAATTGTGTAAGTACCCACTATAATGACAAAAAAGTCATTTTAGTTTCACTCCTGTCACTTTAGGAAGTTGTTTTGAAAAAATGGAAGAGAAATGAGAGTAAAGATGATAGGGTTTGCTATAAAAATAAGAAAACAAACTTCATTGTGGGCATGGTTGGGATCATGCATAAGCAGAATAAGAGACAGAAAAAAAGGGTGAAAAGAAGATTAGGGAATTTTTTAAAGGCTATATTTATGGCTGTGTACCTGTGTTATTAGTATAATTAAGTATTTTGAAGTACAAATGTGCTTTCATTCTGATACAAAATACTAATATATTAATTTATCTTTTTCCTTAGGAAAAAAAATATAAGCCAGAGATCAAGAGAATTCTTTATTCAGACTTTGAGTTGAATTGATTTCCATTTTTACAGTACTGTTTGTGTAGTGCAGTATTAACCTTCAAATTTTTCTTTTTGACCTCTGTCAACTAGAATGTAGTGATGAAACATTTTAATTTTGGATGATTTAGTAAAAGTAAAGTTATTTTGTCTACATATCTTGTCTGATGTGTCATTAATTAATATAAAATGTTAGGGGTAAAGGTAAAGGCTCCTTCCAGCTGAAAGTCCTATGATAGCCCTTTAAAATATGGGTTTGACTATGGACCCCTGCTGTAGGGGTATCCGTCTCAGGATAACTTAAATAATTAAAGAAAATGCTTAATTTCAATTAGAGATTTGTGGGAATGGAACAAGCATTTATTAAAGGCTTACCTGTATACCAGACACTGTACTAACTGCTTTACAAATGTTGTCTCATTTGGTCCTCACAAGGAAGGTGCTGTTATTTCCATTTTACAAAGGAGGAAACTGAGAGCTACAGAGATTAAGTGACTTGCTCAAGGTCACCCAGCTGTTATCTGAGGCAGGATTTGGTCTTTCTAACTCCACAGCCAGTGCTTTAGTCACTTTGCCTATCTTGTTGCCTAGGTTAATGAAAATAAAGATGTAATTTTCCCCCATCTAAGCTCATTGACTACCTGAAATCTATCAGTGGTTTTAGACCCTGGGTTAAGAATCCCTGACCTAAAGGAAAAATACTGGGACTTTTTAGTGAACCTTGTATACTAGTGTTCAGTATAATAACTTGATACGCACATGGATAAATGCTCTTAGTGATAAAAATAAGAAAAATACATAGTAAACACATAGATGAAATAGTAGTTATCATCTACACAAGATGTTAACATCTCTCTCTCTGAAATCTTGCTTTTGAATTCATCTCAAATCACCCTCTTCAAAGTAATCAGTGGTCTCAGTTGCCCAATCTGATGACCTTTTCTCAGCCCTTATCCTTCTTGACCTCTCTGTAGCCTTTGATACTCTAGGTTATCCCCTCCTGCATACTCTTTCCTCTCAAGGTTTAGTTCTCCTTTCTATCCATCTGCTTCTTTTTAGCCACCTTTGCTGGTTCTTTATCCTTACCTTGCTCTTTATCCTCACTAACCATAGGCATCTTACAAGTCTCTCTTACTGGGCCTTCTTGCTTTTTGATCTGCAGTCTTCTTTTTTTATCAGTTCTTCTGGGTTCAGTTAACGTTTCTGTGCAGGTAATTTCCAGATCTAAATGTCCAACTTTCCTCTGTATTCTGAACTACAGTTATGTACTCCGACTGTTTCTTGTATATTTTGAACTGTATGTCCCAGAGACACTTACAAGCTCATCATGTCCATAAACAGAATTTATTATCCCCACCCTCATCTCCAGCTCTTCCCACTACCAGATTTCCCTGTCGCCATTGAAGATGATGTCATACTTGACTCATTCTCACTCTACATATCCAAGTGAATTGCCAAATTTTGTGGTTTTATCTTCATAACAATATCTGTATCTCTCTATATATCCATTTCTCTTTACTCACATATCCACTTCCTGAGATCTGACCCTCATGACTTCATGCCTAGACCATTGTAGTAGCCTGCTAGTTGGTCTCCCTGCCTCAAGTCCTTTCCTACTCTAATTTATCCTCTATTCAGCTGCAAAAGTGATTTTTTTTAGTGTAGTTCTGGTCATGTCACCCTCATGCTTGGTGAGTTCTAGTGGCTGCTTATCACCTCCAGGATCAAATCTAAATTCCTGGTGGCGTTTAAGACCCTAACCTACCTTTCCAGTCTTCTTACACGCCACAGTCCAGTTACCCTGGCTTACTTGTGTTCAGAGAACACAACACTCTATGTCCTATATCTGTGCCTTTCATTGACTCTCTCGTGGAAGCCTGAAATGCTTTCCCCATTTATTTCTTCCTCTTAGTTTTCCTGTATTCCTTCAAGACTTGGCTCAAAACCCATCTACTACAGTAGGGCTTTGCCTGTTCCCCCTACTATTCATAGCTCCCTCCTCCTCCCTTTCAGATTATCTTCTAGCTACTCTCTCTGTTCTTGTATTTTCCTAGTTATTTTTATACATGTTGTATCTCCTTTATTGAAATGTCTGCCCCTTGAGGGTGAGGATTGTGTTAACGTTTCACTGTATCCCCAGTGCTTCAAACGGTACCTGGCACATAGTAAGTACTTGATAAATGACTGTCCAGTAATCCAGCTCTAACTAGAATGAAAGGAAAATAGCAATAATACATGGCATGAACATGATAGAAATAATTTGCTTTCAAAGTATTCTGTATTTTTTCTTACTGGCTTCAGAAATGATTCTTTAGGAGGGAAAAACTGAAAACATAAAAAAAAGCTTTTACTTGGCTGTCACATTTAATCCACTTAAACTTCTATTTTTATAATATTACTATATTTTTCATGCTACAAGTAAAGTACAGAAAGTAGCCTTAGTTTAAAACAAATTTATAAGATAGGAAATGAAAAGTTAATCATTTACTTCAGTGGGTATGTGGTCTTTGCCATATTGAAGCTTCTTCCAACAGAGCAGCTCCCAACATCTCCCTATCTTCTTCTCTGTGACATTCTTGTCCCTGCTGTCCATAAATCCACAGTAGAAGAGCTGGTAGCCTTCTACAGGTACCACTGCAACACTCAGCCTCCATGATTGTTGTCCTTTGTTCTCCCTTCTGGCCTTCTCCTTGTTCATCAAACAGGTCTTTGGTGATACCTGTAATATAATTTGAGGTGTACTTCATTGGTAATATATTTTCTACCCCAACTATGACCATCTCCATTTCTTTTTGAGTGACCCACCCACAATTTTCATTCCATTTTTCACAGCTACATAGAATGGGTTGAATTGTATTTGTTTGCCTAATTGCCGAGAGCTTTTAATAACCTAGAATTTTCTTCCTACAAAAAAAGGAAATTAATACCATTATCTTAATACTGTTATTCTTATGGTGATATATTCTATAGGCCTTAATTATATATAGTTAGTGCTGTAGATCAGGAGTGGCTAAGTTGTTTCCTTTTTATTTTAAAAAATTATTTAGATTTCTAGCTTTGTCTCCTATCTCCCCTTTCCTTCAATTTTTGGTTATTTCAGAGCACTTCCACTAGAGGGCAGGTAAGGAAGGAGAAGTAAAATTCAAATTCACCTAGTTCGTGTGAATGATAGTTACTTATACTAATCCTAGTGAAATACTGGAATTTTTTGTGTGTGAAAAACAAGAGGTGTTCTTTCAGCCCTCAAAGTATTCCCCCCCCCGTCAGAACAGACTCAAGATAGAGATCTCAGAAAACAACAGAATAAACAGCCGTGATTTTTAAAAATTCCAGCATTTCAAATAGTTCACTAATATTGTTTTCTGCTTTTATAGTCATAAGTCATAATTTAAAATGTTAGCATATTCTTTGAATTGCCATCTTATTTTTTACAAGTAGTCATTTGGATAATTGAATAATCAGAGAGTTGCCTCAATTCAGATTTCATAGTTGAACATATGTTCATATCCAGGTCAGCATATCCAGATACTGGCTTAGTCAAACTCTTCCCATATTGTGCTTCTTTAGTAAAGTAGTTTAGTTAATTATAAAAATGTTATTAGGAAAGTTCTCTTCAGAAATGCCCATGAATGTTCTGTGGTCAGTTTATGATTGCCAGAAATTTATTTTGTTATACTACACGTTATAATGTCATTGAATAATATTGAATACCATGAATTAAGTTTTCAGATTTATTTGCAATGATAGATGTTTTAATAGAGTACTTTTTATTTTAACTGTTGTTGATTAATTTAGAATTAAAATGGATGAAATGGATTTCCAGTAATGACATGTATATTTGGTTTATTCTTTCTTGGCATTTGTACTGCATTATTTACATATTTCATTTGATCAGATGCTTCTTACAGCTAGATTAACAGAGACACATATTTTATGTATTATAAGCTTGTCACAAAGACTTAAAAACAGACAGGAAAAACTTGGAGAAAATTATTTCCCTTTAGTGTAAATTTTGACACCTATTACTTGCAATTGGTGTTCTGCCTTTTGTTCCTTGCACATTAGGCATCCTATATATCAAAAGTGAATTTATCCCTTTGGTATGTCACATAATTACGATCAAACTGTTATCTTACATGCCTATAGCATTCTTTTTTCCAGTACTTAATACCTTTTATTCCTTGGCCTCATGCATGAATTATGCAGTGTATGTGAAGAGGCTTAAACTGTTTCCATTACATTCTTTCTGAATGGATCCTGTTGTATCCAGGATATACATATTTTTTAAACAAAGTAAGAATGTTATTGTTGACCTTGACACCAGATAACTGGGTAGACATTATATAGCTATGTTTGAATCCTCACAAAATGTGATGCTAAAGCCAACAGAGTCCTGGCGTGAGACCCTCTTGGACAGCAGAGTTATGGATCTTTTCTTTACAGTAAGTCTAATTCTTCATCTTTGATAATAAAGACTACAGAGAAGTTCCACTGAAAAAGTAAATTGCTTTTGGATTTTTCTTAAATTTATAAAGGTGGGAGATATTTTAATATGTTTAAAGTTTTTTTGTTTATTTTGGTTTGTTTTGGGGTTTGTTTTTTGTTTTTTGTTTTTCAGAAAACTTTTTCACGTAGTGACTTTTCCATTGGGGAAATTAAATGTAAATGTTCTTAATAATTTATGCCATTGATATGGAACTATTATGTGAAGTTTAATACTTTTTAGAGTAATGCACATTTGTATGTTTTGTAACTGTTTCAAGTTTTAAACTAATATTATTGAGTAATGTATCTTAAATACTTCTGTTCTAAATAGGCCTGTATATTGCACTCTGCAAATATCAAATAAATGCTGCATTCCAATATTTGCCAATCTCACACAACAGTTGAAGATGGAAAACATTTGCATTTTTTTCAGCTAGTTTGCAATTGTAATATAAAAGTATAGATTGGATAATTACTGGTAAAATGAACAGTTAAAGGCCAAGATTTTCCCTTATTTGTAGTTTTCCAGTTTTTATATATTCCTTTTCTTTTTTGGTGAATGTTTCTGTTTGATACGATGGCACCATTGAGAGTTAAAAAAAAAGCATTGTAGTTTTGTCTAGTTCATATTCATATTCAGAATTCTTTGTGTGTATGCAAGCATAAACATAGACAATTTTTGTCATTTTGAGATTGAACATAAATCAGTTTGTATTTTCATTTGTAATTCATAAAAATAGTATGCCAAAAACATTGTCAAGATTAACGGGCTAAATGTAAATAAATCTTGAATACAATTGTCTGTCTCAACTGAAATAAATTGTTTTGAAATGTATTCAAGTTTATATTTTTATAAAGACTTATTTCACTTGATTGAAAGTAGATATTGCTCCAGCAGTTTTTGAAAAGGTGAAAAACTTGCTGGCAGAACTCGAAACAGCTATACCAAATCTGAACAGCTGTCTAGACAAACCAAACAGCTGCTGCTGTCAGCTGTGAACTGCCTCATGCAAATAACTTTTGAGTTTGGAGGTTAACTCTTTCTTGAATAGCCATATTGACAAATCTTTAAAGTTTGTAGCTAGTTATTAATTCTACTTTAAGATGTATTTTAAATGGTTTATCTGCTGAATTATGACCTAATTTAGTATTCAATGAGACATAAAAATGATTTCCTTATATACACACACACACAGAGTTATTCCAAGGGGGACTAATGCTTGGCTCTGTTGAATATTTCTGAATATAGTTTTCAACTTGAACACAAAAATAAACATACAACTCTTCAATTGTATGTCATGTTCAGTTCAGAAATCTTTTCCATTGTCATGCAGCCCTTCTCCCCTCACTCCACTTTTCCCTTTATAATGAAAGTGGACTATTGGAAAGAGCCCTGGACTTGGAGGCTGAAGGGCTTTAGGTCAAATCCCACTTCTGACGCTTCACTGTGTGAGCGGGCATAGTCCTATGAGAAATTTGAGCCTCCGTTTCCTTATCTATAAAATAGAAATAATAGTAATTGCTTCACAGGATTGTAGTGAGGCTCTAGTGATATACATACATGCATGTATGCATATACACCTACATACATACATGTGTGTATAGCTCTATCTAAACATGTATACACACACATATAATTTATGCACACACATATGTATCTGTGTATGTGACCATATAATACTTAGTGAAAATGTCTGTTATGCACTTATTTGGAGACTGGGCTAACTTTATAATAATGTAATATGTTTTTGACTCAGTAATGACAATATCACTTATGTTTGAATTACAGTTGCTGTTACAATGGAATGTAGCCTCCCTTCACGAACCCTGAATTGTTTTCTTAACCAGCCACGTTGACTAGAAGTGGTATTGGAAAGCAAGAATGGGAGAGTTAAGGAACATATTCAGTGGAAGTGTGGAGTGAGGATGGGAGAAACCAAGGGCTGTATTCATTGTATCCAAGTTCTAAGTTAGAACTTGGAATAGTTTTCCCATAGAAACAATGTTATAAATGAGATTGGGTTCCTAGGCTAGCCCATAGACATTTATCTAACCTATTATGTGTCCAGCTGATTTAGCAACTAAAAATGCATGTTGAATTCCAAACAACCAACTTCAGAACGAACCTTTGCAATACAACTTATTCATTAATTGGGAACTGCCTACATATCTTAATTTTTGTGTAGTAATGGATGAGAGGTTACTATATAGACTTCATTAGATGCCATAGAACGTATTTGAAAGATGTTTATATTTCCTGAGCAAAATGATTTTTTTAATGTGCAAAAGTGGAGAAAATAGTTACTAAAAAGTAAAAACTTGCAAATATAGTTGAGTTTTTGAAGTATTTATATATTTAATACTATAAGCTGAAGAAAGTTCAAAGATGAAGATGGAGTCAGTCATCAAGTATTTACTGAGCAACCAATATGTGCCCAGCACTATGCTAGGTTATCCTATGAGATACAAAAGTAAGTATAAAATGTAGTACGTGCCTTGAGGAATTTAGAATGTAGTTGGAGAAATCAAATTAAGTAGACTGATTATACAGAACAGTCTGGTGATAAATAATGGCATAGAACTGTGTAGGAACAGTTTAGAAAAGGGAAGGACTAACCTAATCTCTAGTAAAACGTAGACTTTTTTTTGCAAAACTGAAGTGTGACCATTTTTATTGTCAAAAGTGAAGTGTGATCAGTTTCTAACTCATTCTCAAAAAGTTGGGTGCTTTTGTAGTGCCTACGTTAAGCAACCTATGCTAAAAATAATGTTTTATGACACTGTATCATGTGACAGAGATGAAATATTTCTTTAAAATATACCTGAAAGCATAAACAGTATTAGTTTATCTAGTATAAATATGGTCTTTAGAGCACTGTGGTAGTTGTTTTGAAACAATATTGCATGCCTGAAATAAAACCTGGGCAGACTTTTGAAATGGATTTATACTATTAAATATTCCTTTGAAATGGCAGTATAGTAGAGCAAAGGTGAATTTAAAGGAAACAGAAAATTATAGTTGTAAAATTTTGAACAAATGAATGAATTTGTAGGGATCGTAATGCATTTGGTTTTCATATCTTCGCTGTTTACTTCCACTAAAGGAGCATCTATATACTCTTGATTGAACTTGATGACTAACTTTAGCAAGACTCTGTAGCCTAGGCATAGTTAGCATAATACAGATGACTGTCGTTATTGCTGTTTTTAGAAGGAGCAGTATGTCTGACTGGCTGGCATCTGTTTCTCTCTTTAAGACATAACATGCTGTAGACAGTTAAATTTTCAAAATGTAGGTAGCACCCGGTGGATAGTTAGTTTTGGGATGTTTAAAATTATGGCTTATGAAGTTAGTGCATCGGAGGATGAAATAATATTTAAGTGTGCTCTGATTTAGGAATTAAATAACTTCGTTTAAAAATAAACAGCTAGTGTGAGCTCTTTCTTGTTTGGAGAGGTAGACATGTAATTTGATAAAGAGAATTTATTTTTATGAATTGGCAGCGAATCTTTCTTACAGGTACATCGTAAAATTAGAGAAGATTCAGATATGGCACAAGATTCACTCCAGTGCCTAGCCCAGTTAGCCTCTCTTCATGGACCCATCTTTCCCGATGAAGGTTCACAAGTGGATTACCTGGCACATTTCATTGAGGGTTTACTGAATACCATCAATGGGTATGTATACTTAACTTGCCTCTTTAAACATAATGGTGATTTTAAGTGCTTTTTCATTTTTATTTTTGCAGTTAGCAGAGGAACAAGTAACAGGTGACTTTTTTTCCTCTTAACACTTTAAAGTATATCTGCATTGGTGGCTAGCATGAAATAATTGCACTAATCTTTGAAAATGAATAGATGGTGTATGTGAGGGAACCCTTTCGTGCTCAATAATAAATGTATCTTTGATCTATAGGATTGAAATAGAAGACTCTGAAGCAGTGGGGATCTCCAGCATTATCAGCAATTTGATAACTGTGTTCCCTCGAAATGTTTTAACTGCCATTCCAAATGAACTCTTTTCTTCCTTTGTTAACTGCCTCACACATCTCACTTGTTCTTTTGGGCGAAGTGCTGCTCTGGAAGAAGTGGTGAGTAAACTACTCTAAAGTAGGAGTTGCTTCTTTGATTTTTCACTTGGAAATCTGTTATCCTCTGATGGTATTTTGGAAGATGAGGCTTATAGCCTGCTTTGTTTTCACGCGTAAGTCTTTTGGCATGCATATTCTTTTACACATTGGGACCATGAAGAATGACAAATTCATTTATAAATTGACTTCTGAGATTCTAGTTTGAAAGTATATCAACAAATGGAAAGTTTAGATATTTAGAGCTTCAATTTTGAAATAATTTAGTGTTTGGAGTAAATTTAATAAAATACTTGCACTTAAATGTTAGTAAATTTGCCTCTAAAATATTAATAGCCTACTGTTATATAATAGAGCTTTTAATTGTTACTTCAGAGTTCAGGTATGACTTCTTCATAAAATGCTTCTAAAAGTTAAAATGGTCCTGGTTTAGTATAATATCTTTTTTTTTTTAAAGAAATCCCAAGTTTAGAATTTTAAAAAAATAATCCAGTTATAATTGGGTTCCTGACCATTGTTAACATCCTTTTCTGACTTGGGTGCCGATCTGTTTAGCTAGTGTGGTCAAATGGCAGCTATTAAGTTCAACTGGTATTACACATAAAAAACATATTAAATGTAAGGATATTCTTAGAAACACTTAAATACTTTTCCTCATTTTGTAATTAAACTAAGCAAATTTAATAGTTTTATAAGTGATTGATATTTTTCTCAAATTATTTTCCACATAATTTCTTATTGCTTAAAAATTAGCTTTCCCTTTACAGCTTAGTGACCATTGAAGACTTTTGTAAAAGCAAAAGAAGTATTTTGTGATTGTGTTAAATAACTACTGACACACTTTTTTCAGCTTGCCATTTGAAAAAATGAATTACATGAGTGAAACTTTCTATTTCCTTTAATTGTTTTATTCATTCATGGTTTAATGTATAGATCTGGGCATCTGTTATATTTAATTCAGGAGCATTTGGAAAATATAAAAAGAGTTAGAAGATAGCTTCCAAAAACCAGATTCCTCTGAAGGTCCAAGTTTCTGTTTAAGGAATACTTTCCAGTGAGTACTTTTTAATCTTTTAAAAATTTTATGAAGCCTCATCAAAATTCTAATAAACATGGTATTCAAAGTATGATGCTGAGAGAAAAGGCAAAGGAATTGATAATTCTTTATGGCATGGAAAGAAGAGTGGTTGTATCATTGCTTTTTTAAAAGTTGAATGGGCATGAAGTGTGGTCTAAATATTCAAAGCTTGAACCCATATGCCATCCACACTCTGAATTAAGTATAGATTAATGAGGTTTTAGCATAATTAATATCTCCCTTTCTTAATTTTGTTTCCTATTTTGAAGTAGTTAAAATGAACAGCATTTAAAGATAAACTAGCTTATCTGCTTTTTATTTTCTGAATTTGAGGGTTTTTTTAAATAATACTCAAATTTTTTTCCATTTAAAGAAATTGGGGTTCTTAATTATAGAATGTCTGACAGTTTTTGTATTTAATTATCAAATTTGCCTGAACTGTAGAAAAATTAAAAAATTAGTGTATTTATTATCTGGGGAGGTCTTATCTTACCATATTTCCCCATCTGACATAGAAATATTGAAATAAAAAAACTAGAAGTTTATGGAATAGTGGTCCCTGTGCTTTGGACTCTGCCTTTTTTTTTCAATATGAATATCTTCTAGAGCCAGCCTAATCTATGTAAGGCCTTTGTCCTGTAGTAGTATACTAATTGTTTGACTCACAATCAAATAATCTAATCTTCTGATAGAGAACAAACTTATTTGATTGAAGTTAGGAATGAAGAATATATCAGACTAGAAAGGAAGAGAAATACTAGAGAGAATCAGGCACTACTTGAAGGTTTTAGAATAAAGGAGTGACATGATCACTTCCATACCTAAGGAAGATAATATGAAAAGCACTTTGTAAGCCTTAAAGCAACATGTACTTGTTAGCTATGACTTTTATCTCTAAAATGGAAATAATAATAGTGCACTGCTCACCATATGATGTTCTCATGATGACCAAATCAGATAATGTATGTATAACTGTGTAAATGGTAGCTAATATATTTGAAGGAGAGGAACCAAATCTTTTGTGTCCTCTGGTACATGGCTATTACTTTATCGGATACAGAGTACGTGCTTTATAAATCCTTGTGTTACCTTGGAAAATAGAATTATGTACAAAAATTATCTCTGACTATAATATTTAAATCAAACAACAAGCATTTCAGAACATTTGCTAATGTGCCAGGCATAATGCTAGGTACTAAGGAATACAAATTCAAAGAATTAAATAATCCCAACTTCATACTCTCTCCCTTGTATTGTAAAGGAGAAATGGTAAGTGAATGTGTAAGCATATGTAGGAAAAATATAAGGATACTAAAATACAGTGTTGTTTGTAGGGAAGACACTTGTATTTTGTGGAGATCAGGAAAGGCTTTGTAGCTTAGATTTGTAGTGAGACCGAGTACTTGGTTATCCAAGATTGTATAAACAGTTATTTCTTATGGCATCTACTGTTTTCTAATAATTTATGATGCATTATTCATGTTCACTTGAGGCTGCTTGAATTTTTCCTTCCGGTTAACTAACACTTTGGAAATCAAACTGTTATTTTTTACATGAGTAATTTAAAGAGGTGAAAATCTCAGGTTTGAAATAAAAATATTTTAAAAGATAAAATCTTACTGATAATTTTTTACTTTTAAATCACATATTTCCCAATGTAATCCTCCCCAACCTCTCTTCTATATCCATCCCTTCTTAATAGCAAAAAAATTTTAAAAAAAAAGAGAGAGAGAGAAAGTAAAAGCAGCAAAATAAACCAAGGCCCTTGAAAAAGTTTTTACAAGGAAAGTCTTTCACACCCATAGTCCTCACCTCTGCCAAGAAGAGAGGGCAGTGCCTTCTCACGGCTTTTCTTTGGGCCTAGGTTGGTCATGATTAGTTCACAACACTCAGTTTCAGGTATTTTGTTCTTGTTCTTGGCCGTTTTGGTTGTTCTAGGAATTGTGTATACTGTTTTCCTGGTTCTGCTTATTTCATTTTGCTTTACTTCCAAGTAAGTCTCCTGTACTTCTCTATATTCATCGCATTCAGCCTACAGTAATATTCAATCAGGCAATCAATCAATAAGGATTTATTAAGCACCTACTTTCTGCCAGGCACTATGATAAGTACTGGGGATACAAAGAGTTAAAAGACAATCACTGCCCTTAAGAAGCTTACAGTCTAATGGAGGAGATTGCACATAAACAAAATATACAAAACAAACTGTATACATGATAAAGAGAAAATAATTAAGAGGGAAAACACTGGAATAGAGAGGGTTTAGGGAAGGCTTCCTGAAGAAGGTGGGTTTTTAAAGATGCCAGGGAGATCAGTAGTCAGAGCAGAGGAGGGAGAAGGTTCTAGGCATGGGGGACAGCCAAAGGGAATGCCCAGAGCTGAGAGGTGAGTGTCTTCTTTGTAGAACAGCCAATAGGCCAGTGTCACTGGATCAAAGAATAAATGTCAGGGAGTAGGATGTAAGAAGACTAGAAAAGTAAGAGGCGGTTAGGTCATGAAGGGCTTTGAATGCTAAAGAAAGCATTTTGTATTGATCCTGGAAGAGGTAGGAAGCCAGTGGAGTTTATTAAGTAGATAGGTAACATGATTAGACCTGAATTTTAGGAAACTCACTTTAGTGGCTGAATGGAGAATTGTTGGGAGTGGGGCAAGACTTGAGACAAGCAGAGGGTGTCAAAGGCTGCAGAGAAGTTAGAAACAAGGAGAATGATGATTGAGAAAAGACCATTGGATTTGGCAACTAAGAGATCATTAGTAACTTTGGAGAGAACAATTTAAGTGGAATGATAAGGTCAGAAGCAGCGTTCTAAGGGGTTAAGAAGAGACTGAGAGAAGAAAATAGAGGCATCTATTGTAGATGGCCTTTTTAAGGAATTTAGTTACAAAGGACAGAAGACAAATAAGACAATAGTAGGGATAGATAGATGTTTCAAGTGAGGGTGTTTTCAGGAAGACATGGCCATGTTTGTAGGAAATGAGCCAGTAGAGAAGAGAGGAAGAGATTGAAAATAAGTGAAGGAGGAGACAGATAACTTATTTAGGCATTCTGCATTCAATGGGCATTTTAAAATAATCTTAACAGATACTGTCTGTATTTTATTATATTTACTTTTTATATTGCTAGAGTAATGTTTTTGCCAGATATAGCTGAGTGGAGATGTGGAGACTGTGATTACATACCTTTTTTGCACTCATTGGTCAGTGGAAAAATTCAGGCTTATATCATAAGGAAGAGATGATAGGGGAACAGGGAGTATATACATTTTATTGGGTTTAAACAATGAAGTATTTCATGCAGTATTAGATTTTTTTCTTTAAATGTTCACTGGAGAAATGGAGTAAAGTTTTTTGTCTAAATAACTATCACCAGGCTTAGACTCATAGTTACATGGAAGTAACAAGATGTCAGAGTCATAGAATCACAGAGCTGATTTTGGGGGGGGTGAGGCAGTCGAGGTTGAGTGACTTGCCCACAGCTAGTGTCAAGTGTCTGAGGCCAGATTTGAACTCAGGTCCTCCTGACTGCAAGACTGGAGCTTTATCCACTGTGCCACCTGAAAAAAATTTTTTTTAAAGATTTAGTTCAGGAGCATCCAGGCTTTTCTGGATTAGTTCCTGTGGTTAGAAATTCGTAAGTGTATACCTCAAAAATGTTAGAATATATGATAGTGATCTATTTAAGAATGTTTAGTCTTATAGAAAGAATCAAGTTCATGTTACTATGCTTAAAATGTAATTTTTTGTCAGAGGAAATAGCTATAATGTAGTTGTAATATTTTCTGTGATAACCCTTGTTACATGCACTGTGCAGTATTGTGTAATTTGCTTTTCTTTTAGTTGTGACAGTAATAAACTGTTGCTCAAAACAAAATTTAGAAGTATGAGGAAGCCCCTTGTTCTGGCACATACAGATATAAGACTTAAG